CCACTGTTCGCGCCACCAGCGCCACTTCACGCCACCGTGCGCCACCAGTGCTGAGAGCGTTCGAGCAGCACTAGGAGAGAGCAGCGGGCCCGCACTCAACACCCATCGGCGCGACGACGGCGAGCGTCGTGCCGACTCTTCCAGCCAGCTGTGGACAGAAACTGTGTACCGTGTTCATATGCCCCCTCCCCCACACGCTCACCCTCACACCCCCACTACTCCGCAGGGAACAAACACATTTTTGACATAAGAGATGCCAACCTCGGCGTCTGCTTTACGCAAAGAATTGAACCAGTGATAAAGAAGACACACGATACGCATATCGGGATAATCAAGAAGGGTTGCCACTCCAAGGCGGTGCATTAAAAATCAATTGATAATGAAAAACACTGCTGCCATTGAGTTACGTGGATAAGGTCATTTAGAAGCAAAAGAGTCGTACCTTTTTCTTTTCAATGGCATAATCTTGCCAACGAATCCATTAACGCACATTTGTGCCTTTAGGAATAATACTTGTTTTATTGTTTTTCGTATGAATATCGTCGCATAATTTTAAGGACTTTATTCATATTTCTCATATGTTCGTGTTACATTGCATAAAAATTAATTGCCGATACCCAAAGTGAAACAACGTGATAAGAATTGACTTGAAGGTCTATGAAGGGATGTGGTACTGTGTGGGCAATTTTCAAATACGAATTTGCATATTATAAGGTTAAGGTTTTTGTTAGGATAGCATATGCATGTTCTTAGCATCTCTCTCTCTCTCACCAACTGCTCGCGCTACGTGGGGGGGAATGAATGAAAGTGAAACGCAATCGTGATGGTTACCGTATTAATGCTGTGTTGAAATTCCGAGATTGAGCATTCTCATATTATCCAAAATTAAAGTTTAGCTAGAGAATAAAATTGATTAAAGCAGAAGGGTTGTGTGTGATTCTTTCTGAAATTCCGCATAAGAATTGTTCTGCGATTGAGATCTGAACCTGGTGGACCTATCATAAGCACACTAACACACATAATCAATAAATGTTAAAGCAAGAATAATCGTATCCTTATTGCTAATACAGAGTTAAACAACGAAGCCATGTTGACTCTCTCATTCACGCTCACAACACCTGCATAACTGCATGCGATTAATTGTCTCATCCTAATTGATAACCAACCTTCGTCACCGAGGCTGGGCCCGATTATCATAACGACCTGCAGTATCATAACCACACCCACTCGCATAAATTAATACGATTATATCTCGAATTAGCATAATTTATATGCATAATTACACATATTCATGTAATTTTGGATAAATTATGCTAATTTTAAATTTCATTTAATTTTCATTATTTTCATAAATTTTTCATAACCCACATATACAACACTGTTTGGTGTTAGTCATACTCTTTGGTTCTATTGGGTAAAGTCACGTAGGTAAAAAAAAAATAACAAAAATCACGACGTTTTGACCACAACACAAGTGGCCTTCATCAGGTGAAGGGACCAACCTGTCCGGAGGACAGCGTTGGAGTGAAAAAAGTCAAGCGCAGTTCGCCTCTAAGCTGTGAGTGGGTAAACAGAAAAGACGCCTTGACAAAGGAATTAGCATAAAATGTAAAAGTTGAGGGCGCTTTGTTCCTCTCACACAGCTTAAAGGCCGTGATCTGAACGTGGCTCTTTCACTCCAGCGCTGTCCTACCAGACAGTCTCATCCCTTCACCTGATGAAGGCCGCTTGTGTTGTGGCCGAAACGTCGTGAGAATATTATTGTGTTATTTTATTTTATCAATTTATTATTTTATTCTCATTCTACGTCACTTTACCGAAAGAACCAAAGAAGATGAATCATCGCAGTCACGAAAGCTTTAAATCGAAAGATTACCAAGGTTGGCGATGTGTTGGATTATTACATCCGCGAGTCGTGAGAGATGGCGACGACTTGGGGGGAGGCCTTCATCCCGCAGTGTATGGACCACGGCTGATAATAATGATATTGATTTTGTTTTCACTTAACAATTCTATAGGATTTGCGTAATTTACTCCGAAGTCTTTGCAGTATTTTGGTATTTCATTTGAGTTATGTAAAGTTAAACTTCCATTACTAGCGGTGGTAGTGGTCTTTCTCAGACCACTTCATGATATACTAATCCTGCTCCATGTCCACTCGGTATTGCTGTGGTGGATGCGTGTTGATTTAATTACAATCCTTCCACCGTGCTTACGTGTGTGTTTATTTAACTTTATTTAAACATCCCGAGTAGTTGTGGTAGCAACGGCGTTCTGTGATTCACATTAAAGGTTTTTGGGTTAGATCACGTAAGTATAAATGTGTCATAACCCTCCTCCATCCAACACAGCCAGTAAGCTTGATTTGGAGCTTTCGTGACTGAAGGAATTACTTTTTGGTTCTTTCGGTAAAGTCACGTAGAAACAAAATAAATTAAATAATAGAATACGACGTTTCGATTGCAACACAAGCAATCATCATCAGGTACGAATGAATGAGAAAAAACAAACCTGGTCAACTTAGAAATATAATGCAATACAACGTAATCAACCCTACCTGGTTGATTACACTCTTCCAAAGATTGCTAAATTTGAGAGACAAAACACGGACACGGAGACACATATACAGACACGTCAGCAGAGAGAGACACACACATAGGCACACAGAGAAACATGGCCTCTGTGTCGAGGACTTAAATAGAGAGAGCGGGGGGCAGAGAGAGAGGGGGGGTAGATAAATTAGCACGTCAATGAGAGCTTTGGAGCTTTCGTGACTGCAGGAAATACTAAAGAGAACATGGAGACAGAGAAAATCAACTGAATAAAAAAACTTAGTAAAATTTGGGAATTAACGCATAGCCTGGTTGATTACGTTCTTCCAAAGATTACTAAATTAGAAGTTAAGTGTAAAATTTGAGAAAGAGACAAGACAAACACGGAGACACAAAGACAGACACAAGCAGAGAGAGACAACACATTTACAATTTGAGTACGAGGTTTTGCTGGTAATTGCATTCATCACCATCGGGCGATTTCACAAATCGTACTCGAATTGTAAATGTTGTAGATTTACTCTCCAATACACGGGTGGGCTGAAGTAGTCATTAATTGGCGCATTTTGTTTCAGTGACAAACCTGACTGGCTGTGTAGGGAGGTAGAGGGTTACTAAACATTTATACGTATGCGAACTAACACAAAAACCTTTATTATGAATAATATTGCTTGCAAAAGCCTACGTGTTAAACTGGCGTTCTCTTAGTCTGCTGAAACAGCGTGTGCACTGAGGGTGAATCTTGCGTGAGGATTGCATCAGGGACACCCTAGGCCACTGCATTTGCATGTTTTCCAATTACTTCAACGATAACCTGATGGGAACTAATTGTTGAATGCTTAATTCCGACCTGCAACGGTTGTGCGTAATCTGATTGGGTTGAGTGCCATTTTACTGTAGGACTTTAACAGAGGCGAAGGCGTTCAAGGTGCTGAAGTTAATACGCCGAGCAATAAAAAGCCGAGCAATAAAACGTGCGGGGCGGGCATGCGGTTCGCACAGTTAAATTGTGTGGCACAACCAGGAAGTGGGGGTGGGGGGGGCGTTGATTTCCCCACCCAGAATGCGAAATCAACAAAATCAGATCCGATCCGAACGTTAATCACTGTCGCGGGTTTCACATTTCCATAACTTGTAAACAATTAACACATTCCTGTGGAGGGAGCTGGTAGGAACGTTGGGTTGCTCGGTCAATGGCCAGGGTCAACGGCGGCGTGGTGTATTCCGCAAATATGCCCGACTGTGAGGGCGGCCAGAAGCCGGCGTGAGTAGGTTAAACGTTGAGTTTTATAAGGGCACCACGGGGTGACCTGCCCCTGCCCACCCAGCCCCACCCCTCCCACCACCCAGCCCCACCCTCCCCTCCCCACCCAGCCCCTCCCCACTCATCCCCTCCCTACCCTCCCCTCTCCACCCAGCCCCACCCCTCCCACGTGGACAGACATCCACAGACATACACAATTAATCCCCTGCCTCCTGTGAGAATTAATCCCGGTTGGGCTTCCAGTCCATATAAGGGCACCACGGGGTGACCAGCCCCTCCCCACCCAGCCCCACCCCACCCAGCCCCACCCCTCCCACCCCCCACCCAGCCCCACCCTCCCCACCCAGCCCCTCCCCACCCTCCCCACCCAGCCCCTCCCTACCATCCCTTCTCCACCCAGCCGCACCCCTCCCACGTGGACAGACATCCACAGACATACACAATTAATCCCCTGCCTCCTGTGAATTAATCCCGGTTGGGCTTCTAGTGCACTACGTTTCCTACCAGTAAAATCACGCTGTACACATCTGCCATCCACACGCACCCTGTCCAGGCTCGGCGCTGCTGATATCTGGTGACATCCCGCACCAAAGACAAAGATCCCCTGTGTAGCCTTAATAGACTGTTGGAACAAGTGCTGTTCACAAGAAGCGCCTATGAAGGCCAGCACGGCACACGAGGGGGTGGGTGGTCAGCACCATGCCCGGCGGCCTTTGTCTCCCCAGCGGCGACATTTAAACATCGTACCAGGTGATAATTTGAGGCTGAGTTGACCTAGGGGAGCCGCTGTACGGGTTCAGATAATCGTCACTGGTGTTGACCTTGAGCGAGAATCGAACTTGGGTCGCCAGGTTCATAGCGCAGTGCACTAACCACTGCACCACCACTCTGCACCACACACACCCGCATCCTACACCACACACACATCCTGCACTACACACATCCTGCACCACACAAGCATCCTGCACTACACACATCCTGCACCACACACATCCTGCACCACACAAGCATCCTGCACTACACACATCCTGCACCACACACACACACATCCTGCACCACACACACACATCCTGCACCACACACACACCCTGCACCACCACACACACATCCTGCACCACACACACACATCCTGCACCACACACACACATCCTGCACCACCACACACACCACAGCTGTCTGCGCACCCACGCCCGTCGGGTGAATTCTCCCGCAGGCGGCGCCAACGGTGGAGTCCCTCGTGAGTCGGTCGACCAGCATGGAGAGCGCCGAGGGGTAGAAATCCGTGTCTCCGTCCAAGGCCAGCACGTAGGTGTTGCGCTTCTTCCTCTGCGGCGGTGAACGGGAAGTAGTGGCATGGAGACAGATCAGCAACAGCGGTGGCATTACAGCCGTGACCTCGTACAGAGCAAGCAAAGCAACCGTCTCACTTAGCTCCTCAACCCCAACGCTCCTTCTCCAACCTCTAACAACCAAACACACAACGTATGCATGCTGTATGCAAGGAGGATGTGTCCCCCAATATTCAAATATGCTCAAAATGTCCCCCCCCAATGTATTGCTATAAAATACATTTCTGTTTATATGATTGTAGTTATGGTTGTACTTTATTAATCCCTGATCTCTGCCATTACATACAATGAAACAAGAAAAGGTAAATAAGAAAAAACAGAGCATTGGAATACAATACACTATTAGACATTATTGTAAAAAAAAGTCCTATGTGTTAGTGAATATTTTTTTATATATTTTAGGCAGGAAATGGCAGGAAACCAGTATTCAAATTAAGATTTTTTTTTCTGGGGGAGACCCCCTGGAAGACTTAGTCCCCCCCAATGTTGACTCCATGGCTACGGCCTTAGCTGTATGTATATTGTATGTATGTATAACTTCTTTCGCATCGTATGTAGCCAACCATGTTCGTCAGGAAAGGATACAAACTAAACACAAACTGCATTTCACAGAAATGAGTGTTCAAATAGATTATTTAAAAGTGCATAGCTCCAGTGGAGAGATCGTTTCTATCTGCAGCGCTACAACCTCTGGAAACAACCTCCCTGAAGCGGTGCGCACACTCGACTCCATCGTCACTTCATTAAGTGACAACTCAACAGCAACAACGCGGCTGTTTTCGCTTGCGTACACCAACAACTAACTCCGGTCATCCTCGCAGCAGCGGCTTTGAGCGAGCTATCGAACAAAGATGGGCACTGCATCTCGCGCTTTCAGATGCGCTTCTACGGTTGTCTGGAACGCTCTTCCTTCCGATATTAGGAAGCAACTGGAGGTTTGCACTTTTAAATAATCAATTAGATTGGAAACTACATTCTCTAGAACTGCTTTTTGTGTTTGGTTTGTTGTCCTGCCCCCACACCTCCGATTAGCACGGTTGGCTACGTACGGTGTGAAAGAAGTTAAACATAAATACAAATAAATTTCAGCCGCAAACCTATTTTACACTTCTATTTTAAACAACTGTAATAAGTGTATATATTTTTTTCTTTTTGTATAGAAAGTTATATTGCTATTGTAGTGACCTATATTGGGTCACTATGGCGTTTAGCGCCAGCTACTGACAGAATAGGGGAACTGTGCGTGTTATAGCCTCTCTCTGGCACCAGAGTATGTTTGGCATGGAAGGGCGCCCTACGGGGCATGCTTCTGGTGACTATCAGAGAGAGGGCAGTTGAGGACGTGACAGTCTAGGTGAACCCGAGAGGGCACGTGACCAGAACAGGAAAATGAGGGGGGCCAAAAGGTGGCGAGAGGGACACGTGATATTAGGCCCAGAACCTTCTGGTAATATCCAGAAGGGTGCGTAGCCGAGGGCGGAGCCAGGCCACGCTCAGGGGCATAAAAGGGAGGTCCCGAGAGCCGATCCAGGCTGTCTGTTGGAATGGAACGCGTCGGTGCTACGCCTCTTCGATCCTCGGTCGTCGGTCTTTACGCTCGGCATCGTGGGTCAGGCAGTGTGTTACTTACTGACCCGGTTATGTAGTTACCCCGTTGTGTCTAGTTACCCGTTGTCGTCTAGTTAACCTGCTGTATGTTTATGTAGTTACCCTGTTGGGGTGTAAGAATAAACGTGTTGCCTCCGAGTTCAAGTGTGTGCCTCCGTGGAACCCAGTACACTATTTTGAGTATCAACGTGATGATGGCGCGTTGAGTGACAGATTGTGCCAGAAAGGCAACCAAAGATTAACTTCTAAATGTGCCGACTCTGTGTGCAGAGACACGCATAGTGCACGCTATGACTGGGCCTCAACCCAGAGGGAAAGGGCCTGAGAGAGAGAGACCCTCTAACAAACGAAACAATTTAAATTTACTAGGCAAGATCCACTGAGCAATTAGCTCTTTTCAGAAGCGACCTGGCTATCACAAATAATAGCTCAAAAAAGTGGATTATCATTTGGATATTTATAGCAGCCAAATTCACGAAATGCGTGATGTTGATTCTAAATGTGGTGGGAAAAACCGGAGGACCCAGAGATATATCCATGCGGCCAAGGGGAGAGAGACACGTAAACTTAAAATATGCAGGCATCAGGGTCGGGATCGAACGCAGTGCCTCCTGCATACCAAGCGAGGTAGTTAAAATCTCGCCATGGCGGCACCCTAGCAGGGTGTATTTGGCCTACACTTCCACACTGCTCCCACGTCTTGGGAGAAGTATAATTGGGTAGGCCCTGCACGTTCCCTGGATGGGCAGCTTGCGTGCGGTTCGCGTGCAGTGGGGTAGAGTGTGAGTATTCACACTCTACCCCACCGCATGTAGAACTGCCCATCCACGGAATGTGCAGGGCCTACCTATTTATACTGCTAAGTTGAAAGTGGCCTCCCCTATGTCGGCTTAGCCTTAAATGAGTAAACATTAGCACTGGTGAGACAAAGACGGATGGGCGTGGTGTTGGACACACGACCCGCTCGCATGCCATCCCACCCTTAACAGGTGCTCGCTAACAGCACTTGCCTCAACAGTCTGTTAATGGATATATGAGGCGTCGTTGTCTTTGCAGTTTACAAAATCCTTACCTCTACCCATTCCTCTTGTTCATCTTTCTTAACTGTGTGGATCTTGTGGTAGATCTTCCAGCCAAGGAGGTAGTACAAGTACATCACCTGTACAGAACACGTTAAGGGGTTTAATAACAACAATCACCATCAGCAGCAGCAGCCGTGATTGATCCACTACTGGATTAAGACCTACCCAAGTCGTCGCGATGTTTCATGAGATCCTGAGTCGTTATCCACCCAGAACCTCTATTACCGACTGATTCCATCGCTCCATCTCCCCAGTGGTCACCTCTCTGCAATGAGTTCCATTCTTTGGCTGCCGCTCCGTTATTATTCTCGACCCAATGGCCATGACAGCGCGTGCTGCTCAAGTGTAACTCAACAGCGCCACCAACCTTCCCCCCCCCCAGTCGTGGATAGAAGGCAATAGAACAACACGCAAATGAGCATCGGCGTGAGATTGCTGTGATACATCGATAACAACCCTGGTGCAGTCATCATCATCATAGCACTCAACGGGTAACACCACGGAACACCAAATCAATCGAGTCGGGGAACACTCGGTCACGGACAACACTGCTGTGTGCAACTCGTTTACAGCACTTGCCCCAAAAAGCCTGCTGAGCCTATATGGGGTATCTTCGTCTCTATGGTGTGCACTGATTCGCACGTGAAACGAATTTTTAATCATCACGTGATTTAATTTCAATATGAGAGCATGACTCTCGAGGTAGCATACAGATGGCTTCAATAGATGTGAGCTATTGCCATCTGCTTCTTACGGCTGATGCTGATGTCGACTCGTAGAGCGAGCTGTAAATTTACATCGAGGTGGTTGACGATCCAGATGATTGCGTCAGGAGTAGCGGAGTGGCGAATCATCGCTGCTGTGATGATGCCTCTCCCTTCATTCGTGTTGTGAATCGGGTGTTGAGTCGTTGTGTGTTCAGTCGCTCTGTTCCAGGTGGTGACCACTTTCGATATTAGGAATGCACCGAAGCTGTGCACTTTTAACTCTAGATTTGATACTAATTTATTTAGAACTGCTTTTTGTGTTTATTTATTTGTATCTTTCTCTATACCACCAATTAGCATGGTTGGTGAGGTACAGTGCGATAGAAGTTCAGCATACATACGTATCGTCGCCGGACACTGACCGGAGATATTTACTTTTCCAATTGTGCATAATCGTCATCGTCATGTAGAAGCACATCAGATGTTGCTGTTGCTACTATGCTCTAAGTGTGGATGCGGTTGTAGGGTTTGTGGCCCAATGAGATTTGGGGTGGAAGATCTGAAGCCCAGGGATGCAACAAATACCTGGGACAAGCACTTGCGGTGGCGGATCATCTCCTTGTCTTTGAGGTGCACGCACAGCGAGTTGCCGTGCGGGAGTTTGTAGGAGAGTCGCGCTCCGTACGGCGTCTGAGTCCACTCCATTGAGGGCGCCTCTTGTGGAATCTTCGAGTTTTTCTCAAAATACCTTCACATCAGCAGCAGCAGCGCAAGCGACAGAAAAGACATGCCCCAATTACTATATTCCATTGCTGCTACTGCTGTCATATCTGGGATGAAGTCCCCAGTTGCCACCTCACTGCTACACTCGCAATTTTTTTTTATTTTGATTATTTTGCTGCTATAAATTTTCACATGATAAGCCACTTCGTTACGCTATCATTTGCGGCCAGTGCGCTTCTAAAAAAAAGATTATACCTCAGTGGGTCTTACCTGGTAAAAAAAAGAATAGTTTCGTTTTATTTGTGATCTGCGAACCTGTCCTATACTTTGCACTCCTATCGTGTTGTTTGTTGAGGTAACGGTCTGACCCGCCCCTGCTGGACATCTGTGAAATAGAGCTTTTAGCTCATCGAATTCCTCCTGCAGTATAAATACATATTCTGATTCGGAATTGAGTAAAGCAGCAGCAGTCGTGGGTGACTGATGATCCAGCACTCAAAGATTATTTCCCAGTCGTTTGCTCGCTCTCTGCCAGTCAGTCGCCTCCGTATCTCACTTCTATCGCTACTACTTCTACAACCATTGTTACTGTTCACACGAACTTCGCTGCTCGATTGCTCCACCCACGGCGAGGGCCTCGGTCGCCCAGACTGAGTCGTCTCGTTGCCCAAATTCTTACCAACGCACGAACAAAAGACAAAGATCCCCCCGTATAGCCTTCAACAGAGTGTTGGAGCAAGGGCTGTTAGCCAGTAGCACCCATGAAGGACGGCCCGGCACACAAGGGGGTGGGTGACCAGCACCACACCCGCCTGCTTTTATCTCCCCAGTGCTGCACCGTTTGTGTAAATTATGTTAAGCGCCTAGTCCGCTTTACAGCAAGGTTGGCTACGTATGGTGCAAAAAATAGTTCAACAAATGAGGTTTCTGCTCAATTCAACACGCGCGTGAACGTCCATCTATCACACCGCCCACCATAGTGTCTCTGTTTGCCGGCCAATTGTCAGTTTGTGCACCTTCGGATTTGCACTCAACAACGGTGATGGTGACGCAAGGAAGGCATTGCTAGCCCTGCGATCCGCACTCACGACGTTCATCTGCGTGACCATCACCAATCATCGTCATCGTTCACCATGATCTATTCACTTCTGAACGAAGGCATCGGCGCAACCTGTTGCCATCCTTCCCGTGGTCTCTCGCACCACGAGCTGAGCTTAACCACCCCGTGTCGTCCCGTGCTTTGTTATTACAAGGCCCGTGCCTCTATCCATCCATCCCTCCCTCCCTCCTCCCACTTCTTTTCCTCCTTTTCCTCCTTCTGCTTCTTTTCCTCATTCTCTTTCGTCTTCTTCTCTTCTTTATTTTTCTCCTTCTCCTCCTCCTTCTTCCCATCCTGCCCCTCCTTCCCCTCTTCTTCCTCCTTCTTATTCTCCTTCTTCTCCATCTCCTCCTTTTTCTCATTCTTCTTCTTCCCTCCGCCGCGGGAACCGACGTTGAGATCCTTTGGCTCACTCCTGTCCAGCCTGGCAGCGGCAAGGGAGAAGGGTCGTTATTGTTATCCCGCCACACGCTCCCCATCGAGTCAAGGTCATGGTACAGCATCGCTCTCCTCTGCAATCGAGCGCTCTCCCAAGGTCTCCCGCCGAAACGTTTCCTACACCTTTCTCATCCCACTGATCACAGCAAACTTCCACCGCATCCTACTGAGTTCAACTCACAACGACCTCTACCCATCGCCGGCACCGGCTTCTGGATGAGTGCGTTTCTCTGTAGCTGTACCAGTCAGCAGCCGTCTGGAGCTCTCTCTGTATCTCCCACTGGTGCACACGCAGCAGCAACCAAGAAGCAGACTCTAACCCATCCAGACTCTAACCCATCCAGGCTCTCATCTGTCCAGGATCTCACCTGGTTGAGGCTCTCACCTGCCCAGGCTCTCACTTGTCGACGCTCTCAGCATGCATCATAATATTTTTTGTTGCGGGAGCCCAGACGTGTTAACTCAAGAGAAGTTTACAGCTTGCACAATTCACAAACATCGTACAATGGTCACATACAAAGAACGGTCCGCGTTAAACACGATCAGCTGATTAGTTGCGACGTTCGAAGGAGGGCAAATGTTCTTGAGGTTAGGAAGGCGCTGCTCCATGTGAAGATGTCATATTTACGAGCATCCAAAGAAAATTGAAAATACACCGCCCACAAATACTGCACTGCGTGTAAGCGGTTAAATGTCCAAGGTCGAAATATGACGGTCGTATATGCGACATGGTAATATGGCATTGCTGTAGATTGTCCAAATAAGAGCCACAGTAATGTGGTTCTATTTTGTTTAACATTTTTTCACCGGCATATGCATTGCTGCATATATCACGATATATTTTTTTCAGGACACTTTAAACGTGCAGTTTAGATTAATATCCTCAAATCTCGTTGAGCTGAAGGGAGGGACGCGGTAGCGTGGTAGCCTGACTGGTGTGGTGCCCTGCAGAAATGAATGTACGTATGTGTGGTGGACTTATTTCACACCATACATACCCAACCAAGATAATCGAATGTGCAGGAGAAGGACAACAATCTAAACACAAAAATAAATTCTGAAGAAATTAGTTGTCAATATTATTTAAAAGTGCATAGCTCCAGTTGTTTCCTAATATCGGAAGGAAGAGTGTTCCAGACGGCCGCAGAAGGGCATTTGAAAGTGCGCGGTGCCGTGACCACACCCCATCTGCATGTTCGCGAGGGACCCCCACTGGCCCTTGGGATCCGGCCGCTTGATGGAATTGGGCGATAGGGAATATACCACCTCAGGATGGACGAGATGATCTTCGTCATCTCCTCCTTGGTCTCGTGCCACATGGTTGCGCACAAGTAGATCTTCACCCTCTCTTGCTTGTGGTTGCTAGAGGATACAACGAGAAGATGAAATCATGTTCAGATTGAGAGAAGGAATCGCAGAGCGCGGGTTCTCTGTTTTATGCATTGGGCATATTGTGGGATGGACATATTTCAGTCTGTAGAACAGAAGGGCAAACGTCACAAATCGTAATCATTATGAAATAAAACAGAAAGAATAAAATCTTGCTTTGATTATATGACCATACTTAACCTCTGATACGCAAAACACGAAACATAGACAAAGGCATCGACCAGACTAACACAAACTAAAAACAAAGATCGCCCATAGAGCCTTGAGAGACTGTTGGAGCAAGGGCTGTTAGCGACTAGCACCGATGAAGCCAGTAAAAGGACTTGAGGGATCTTCTTTGGTTCTTTCGGTAAAGTCACGTAGTATGAGAATAAAATAATAAATTGATAAAATAAAATAACACAATAATATTCTCACGACGTTTCGGCCACAACACAAGCGGCCTTCATCAGGTGAAGGGACGAGACTGTCTGATAGGACAGCGCTGGAGTGAAAGAGCCACGTTCAGATCACGACCTTTAAGCTGTGTGAGAGGAAACAAAGCGCCTTGACAAAGGAATTAGCATATAATTTAGCATTGAAATGGCTGAGTGATTAGCTTGTGACTGGTCACAGAAATAGCTATGTTAAAAGTTAAAGTATACACATCCGCAGAGGCACCCCTTGATAAAGGAATTAGCATAGAATTTAGTATTGAAATAGCTAAGTTAAAGCACACACATCCGCAGAGGCACCCCTTGACAAAGGAATTAGCATAGAATTTAGCATTGAAATAGCTGAGTGATTAGCTTGTAACTGGTCACAGAAATAGCTACGTTAAAGTCAGAGCATACACATTCACCGAGGCACTTAGTACAAATCAAACAGGAGAATTTAGCATTGAAATAACTAGGCGAATTTAGCATTGAAATAACTGAGTGATTAGCTAGTGACTGATCACAGAAATGACTATGTTGAAGTCCAGGCCTACACATCTGAGCTATTCACAGTACTATATAGTGAACCAATAAAAAACTAAAATATAAATTACCTTATTGTTATCAATAAACTCTATATTCTCCAATCAGCTAAGCTACCAACAATAAGTCGTTATATATCACAATGCTATATGGCGAAAAAATGGGTGGATTATTACCCTCAACTTTAGCACCACGGATAGCTACGGGCCCCGTTCAGACGGACGAGTTCATCCATGGTCGGAACAGAGGAGGGGGAGAGAGACAGCTCTGATGAAAACCCGTGGCTTTACAAAGGACATTGGTATCGGATATAATGATATCGTGATCACCCACAGCGTTGTAACAGTGGTCAGCTACGGCAGAAGAATTTGTTCTGCCGTGTTTTAAATCTAATGTGTGCTCGCGAATTCGGTCAGAGACACGTCGTTTCGTCTCCCCGATATAGCAATCACCACAAGTGCAGCTCAATTTGTAAACCCCGGGGTACTAAATCATACCAAACATTAAACTAATTTCAATGGTAGTATATTTATCCAAGTAGTGATATGCAGAACTTTCATTGCAGCTTATTTCACTTCAAACCACATTTGTAAACTCCCCTCCCCCTCCCCCGTGCTGGTCCTCTACGTTACGGTCATTCCCCTTCACACTCCCCTCCCCCTCTCCCCCCTCCTTGCCGGTCCTCTTGCAGTTTACGGTCATTTTATGCTAATTCCTTTGTCAAAGCGTTTTGTGTCCTCCCACACAGCTTTAAAGGACGCGACCTGGGCTGGACTGTCTTCACTCCAACGCTGTCCTCGTGACAGTACGGTCCCCTTCACCTGATGAAGGCCACTTGTGTTGTGGTCGAAACGTCGTGATTTTTGTTGTTTTATTTTTTACCTACGTGACTTTACCGAATAGATCCAAAGAGTATGCTGTTATTGTTGTTAATTGGCCTTGGGCACCACTGCCAACGCAGCTGCAGCATCCCCAACATACTCTTTCCACATTTTGTATGTCCAGCAATGGATTGTCAAATGACTCCGTGAATGATATTCATTGTTTCATTTTTATTAGTGACATAGACGCGATGTTGCTGCTGCGAGGTAATGGTCAGCACAGTCGACGTGCAATTCCTTAGGCCGCCGGGTCTATCTCCCAGTGCGGCAGCTGAAATAAACGGGCGAGTTTGTGACCTCTCCTCGCTCTGCCCACCCAGAACCAAGGGAGGGCGGGGGGGGGGGGGGTCTAGCAGAATCATTTACATTTATACTTGAGGAATGCGATGAGCTATACAACTCTTTTTCTTAGATGTCCATTCGAGGTGGGTCAGATCGTTAC